TCTTATTTCTGGACCCACCATCTGGCCCTGCCCACAAGGATTACAGGAGGCTGGTGTCTTTACATAACAACTTGACAAAAAAAATCCTGTTAGATTGTATATGTAAACATCTCAGACTCAGGATTAATCTTTAGATCTTGACTTTTGTTTGTCCCCCATTCAAAATGTAACCAAGACATACAGTCAAGCACTTTTATATTTTAGTTTAACATCAAAGCATAAAACTACAGCTTTTAAGGAACTTCTCATCCCAATATTTTCAGTTTTATCTGTGTTCCTCAGACATATTGTGATGTAAATGCAGCTTTGTGTATTAAGTAATATTTTGTGCCTGCTTGGTGTATTACTGGAGGTAATCTGAGAAGAAACCGCGCCCCCTGTTGCGCCAAACTCTCCCTTATAAACAGGGAGGATGGAGCATCTCCTCCTCGGTGTCCTTGACTTCCACACAGTCTTTCAGGAAGCAGATCTTTGAGGAGCAGGCTCCACGAGTCCCTCAGCGCGCGCAGCTCTCTCTCTCTCTCTCTCGCAGAGGAGTCATAGCGGCTCCTCCCGCTCAGTGCGGCGCGCGTCGTCACCTTTACGCAAACTTGAACTTGAATCCGCTTCTTCTCGTGTCGCGCACAACTCCCAACTCCCCATCTTCCTCTTCCCTCCTCCTCCTCCAGCAGCACCGCCAGTCGAGCTGTAACGGGACACTTGGAGCGCACTGAACCTCCCCCAGCTCCTCTGCGTCCGGCCGGTCTGCGCACCTTCTCCTCGGATGATGCCCGAGACGTTCCTCTGTCCTGACGGCATGTGGGGGCAGAGGATGCTTGTAAACCCCCTGATGTGGACTTGAGGAGGTTACGGTGGGATTGCGAGGTGACAGGGGGAGGGTTTCCTCCCAGCTTGATCTGATGGAGACATGAAGCTCGAGATGGTAAGCTGCACTTCTTAAGTTCTGATGAGGTTCTGTAACTTCACCTGTGATGTCACAGAGAATCACGGGGTGTCAACTATCACTCGTGATGTGGACGTAAGATATGACATTTTAAGATTATAGGGGCTTCTACAAACGCCCCATTTAATCCGTTTTTGTATTTACTCCTGGAGTCCATCATTTATTTCACGCGCCAGAATCTTTCAAAACACGATTTAGTTCGATTTTTTTTTAAATTAACCCCCCCCCCCTTTTTTTAATCAACCCCCCCGATTTAACAGAGTTTAATTAAAAGTCGTTTATTGATGAAAGCGTTGGCTTCCCAGCGTGCGTGCTGATTGGTAAGTTGTTGAAAAAGCCACAGTTTTATTCTGATGATTTTTGGTGAAGTTTTTCTTATTCATAATCTAAATGATAAGTTTAGTCATGATTTTTCTTGTGTTTTTTTTTTTTTTTTTTGCAGTTGTTGATGTTTTTATCATGAATCATTAAAAAGCTTTCTGACTTTCAGGTTCTGTCAGTTCCTTTTGTTTCTCCATATCATTATGTCATTTCTTGCACCCCATCCTCCCTTCAGTGGAGTTTTGTTTTGTTGCCTTATCAGCAATTTAATTTATGAAAACTTTTTAGCCCTCATCGAACCACCTTCCTCTTGTGTCTGCATCAGACGAAATCTTGATTTTCCCCCAAAATGATCACAAACCTGCTGTGCAGCTGATGATGGTACCTTGTGATGCATGAAATATTTTTTGTACTCAAAACCCATTTGAAATGTTTTGACTCATTATCATATCAGCAAAATAAAACAAGAACTTAAATGGTTTTTTTACCTCTGTTTTGAGACCACAGTTTATTAAATGACTATATTTAAACGACTAGATTTCTATTTTGCACGTTGAAAAGTAACATTTCAAATGCTATACGTTAAACGTTAATGGCTATAAACTTTTTTCTGTCAAATATGTGTTTGTTGAACTGCCACAATAATCATATTTTTTCACATTCTGCTTGAACCCGCATGCTTGCATGTGAACAATGATACTTTGAGTGTACAGCAACAAAAACATGCATATCCTCATAAGTTATTATGACATTGTGAATGTCTCTTTGATAGCTGCGGTAAAAGTTAGGACCCCTTCTTGAAACCTCTGCAGTCCAACTTGGACTCAACAAAAGTACATAAATCTGATTAATATAAAAATGTTCTGATCTTCTGATATTTAGATTTTCTGAGTCAAATCATAAAAGCTGAAGGCAAAATACAAACACTTCCATCGATTGATAAATAAATTGTTAAGTGCTTCTCTTTCTTTAAGGTGGAAATGAAATACCAGCATGATGACAGCAGTGATTTATTGGTTTGTCCAGTCCAGGAGCTTATCGTGCTGGATCTGAATTAGTTATACATGTTGGTTGATTCCATTCCTTCATACTGTCTGTGCTCTTCGTTCAAACGTTCAATGTGTCTGTGGATACTGTGAACAGGCGCTGAGCACAATTAGGTCAATACTTTTAATCAGATTTTTGTAAACAACAATAGTGAGGAACTCTCAGAACTCCTCTATTTAGTTCAGACAATTTAATGGGAACACCAATCCTGTAGCTTTCTGTGAACAGACTGCATCATTGATTTATGGTCTGGGATATATGTTATGGGCCTGAAAATAATTGAGGAACACTTACATTTTAAAGCCATGAAACTGATTGAAACTATGTTGTCCAGAACAACAAAGTCCATGCTCAATAATCCAGGTATACAATCCAGCATTTTTCAGTCAGGTCATCAGGACAGAGTGCAGATGTTGTGAAACAGAAGTAGTGGCCTTGAAGGTTTTAAGAAAGCTTTAAAAAAAAAGAGGCAGAAGCTAAGATTTTGACTTATCTGAAGTGGCACATGCCTATGAACAAAAAACAAACAAACAAAAAAATCAACTTTCGTTGTAGTAAAAGCAACGAAGAGGAATGCAAGAAGTTGGGGTGTGGAGGATGCTGCAGCACCCCCTGATGGATCGGACAAACGTGTCTAAATCCATCCATTCATTATCTTTACCTGAGTCTTTCTTTTCGAGTCCTGGGGTCACTGGTGCCCATTGTCCATACATCACTGTGCAAGAGGCAGGGGACACCTGGACAGGTCTCCAGTCCATCACAGGGACACATAGAGACAAACGAGACAAACAACCATTCACTCTCTCACTCACACCTAGGGACAATTTAGAGTTACCGGTCAGCGAAACATGCATGTTTTTAGTCTGTGGGAGGAAACCGGAGTACCCGGAGAAAACCCATGCATGCACAGAGAGAACATGCAAACTCCACCCAGAAAGGCCCCCCCGTCGAGATTTGAACCAGGGCGACTTGCTCACTGAGAGGCAGCAGCTCTACCAGCTGTGCCACTGTGCTGCCGTCTAAATACATAGTTATGAAAAAAGGACTGAAAAAACAAACAAAAACAGGTTTTATTAGTGCTACATATATTTAAATTAAAATAATATTTTTAGTTTAAAAATCTGATATATTAACCAGCACTGTCATTATATATTTGTGCATAAATGTTACAACCTTAAACATGGTGCTACCACATATTAAAATACAATTTGGGAAGAAATTACATCCTTTAGATTGATGTTTAATCGATTGACATTTTCTGATTATTAACTGGTGAATAGGGTTCTGTAAAACTTTGAACGGATACTGATTCTTCACGTTGTATTCATTTTTTTTTTCTTGCTTTATAAAAATGTCCATGAAGACAAGTTCAATGAAGGGGTATCTCCAGCCATTTTAAACAAAATGTTAACACATGGCTCTGTGTTTTACAGAATTTGAAATAATAAAGAAATATAAATTCAGTTGAGTGTTACTGTTTGCCTGGGATACTCTTTATTTCCCAAGAGTTTTGGAAGGAAAGATAAAGAAAATGTAAAAATAGCTGCGGGTTTTGAAGAAAAAGGAGATCGAAAATTATTTTTACCTGCAATATTTTAATTTGTTGCTGACGCTGATCTCGCCTCACTTCGATCCACCTTATGAACTGTTTTTGTATAGTGTTGCTGCACTGACCATGAGTGTAAAACCACAGATATCCAAGGACACGCAAGCAATTCAGCACTGACTGAGTTCACAATCTGCTTTATCTTATTACGTAATTTCATAAAAGTGTGTTCAAAATGGGATCTTGAAGGCTCAACAGACAACTTGAGTACAAAACATTTAAACTGTAACTCTGTGTGAGTCAGAATCACAAAGTAACACTGTTAGATGACCAACTTTAAAATAAATTATTTGAGAAAACTATTTAAGGTTTTTGTATTCAGTCAGCAATCTGTGCAACTGTAGCGCCAACAAACTTTATGAGCAGTTTTATTGCCAAGACAAAAAAGAATAACATTTTGGAGCCTGAGCTTCAAAGTCTGTTGTTAGGATTGCTGCCCATAATTCACTCGGTGGGACCTGAATGTTTTTTCAGCTGTCAACCCATTTATTTCAATTTTTTTGTTCTTTATTGTGTCAACTTAGTTGACACTGTTCCAAAACCCCAGCCTTGAGGGTCATCTTGACCCAAGGTAGCAGGAGGGTTCATCTGAGTTCGTTCTAACATTTTTGTCCTATTTTCTCTCTCAGTGCCTGCTTGATGCTGCCACGTGTCTAGGTCCTCCCTAATCCTGTTTCGGCAACACAGAGGATCCCTCTCAGTCCCCGGACACCTCAGTGCCACACATTTGGCTGCCTGACTCACTGAGCTCATCATCTGCAGCTATCAGTGAAAGATCAGTTCGAACTCAATCTGTTTATCCACACATTTTTAAGACTCTGGCTTCAGAATAGAAACGCCAAATGAATATGATTTCTGAATATTGACACACAAGCTGAGTGTGTTGTGGACTGCTAACTACAACACAACCCCACCACTACCACCACCACATTCAGGTGAAACATCAGACGTATCTTTACTGGTTTTGTACTCTGTGGTTTGGAAGCCAAAGCCATAACTTGTCTGTCGCTGAGAAAGAGGAAAACGAAGACTCTGTTGTCTTGAGCTGCCCAGTCTGGAGCAGTGTGCTTTCCAAATGCTGCCATGCCCATCATCAGCAATGCCAACCATGACTTCAGCAACCTGTCGGTCAGTGATGACAGCAGTCTGGACCGAATCTTTACCGAGATTCCAGAGACCGAGACAATCAAGGTATGTTTAAGACTTTTGCTCACTTAAAATAAAAGTAAAATTAAAACTTGAAGTGACTTTCCACTCTTTGTTTTCCATGTTCCAGGGGGTGTACTACCAGAGAGCTCAGTTCATCCGTCGGCCAGAGGACCTGGTGTCGGTCGACCATGCCTTGTTGGCGTTGATAAACGTTGGAGGCAACCGCTACACGTTTCCCTGGAGCACGCTGCAGCAGTTCCCCCTCACACGGCTTGGCCGCCTTTGTCGCTGTCGGTCGCTCGAGGACATTGCCAGCGTGTGTGATGACTACGACGAAGCCAGGAAGGAGTTCTTCTTCGACCGTTCCCCGTCTGCCTTCAGAGTCATCCTCAACTTTCTGGCAGCAGGGAAACTTCGGCTTCTGCGTGAGATGTGCATCCTTTCTCTTCACGACGAGCTGAACTACTGGGGTGTGGAGATGGCGTACATGGAGCGGTGCTGTAAGAGGAAGATGTACACACGCATCGAGGAAGTGCATGAGAAAGAGAGGCGGGAGGAGGAGCGTAGGCAGAAAAATGCCATGCAGCGAGTGCCAGTGGAGGAAACTCAGTACCAAAAAGTGATGAACTGGCTGAGAGATATGGTGGAGAATCCTCAGTCTGGCATACCCGGGAAGATCTTTGCCTGCTTATCCGTGATCATGGTTGCAGTAACAGTTGTTAGCCTGTGTATCAGCACCATGCCTGACCTCAGAGAGGAGGAAGACAGGGTGAGTACACCAGGTCAAGCTACCTCTAAAAAAATCTATTCTAATGTTTAAACATGAAACAGGTCCAGGTTAGATGCAAGTGGAGATTTTTCTTGAGTGCCACTTTCACCATTTCTTCCCTAATTACAGGTGTTGTGATCATTATGCACTAAAGCTGCTCACTAATCATGAGTCCAAGCCAGATTCTTATTTTAGCTATCATTTCTTTCCTGTAAACTAACTATTAATGTTATGTATCATACTTTTTTGCCATATAGGTCACACATTTTTGCATAAATTTGCAAGTCCTGCAACTTATACACTGAAGCGACTAATATAAGTTTTTTTCCCCATATTTATAAACCAATTTTTGGCTGAGATCTGACAATTTTTTTCATTCTGACATGAAAAATATTAAACATTACCATTTGCAGCTGCTAGAGGGCCCTTGAGCATTACGGCAAGCCAAGTGTCTCATTAATAGGCAAAAGTGGCTATTAATAAGACCCTTGTCTTGCCATAGAGGCCACCTTTGTCTCGCTCTGGAACTTCTGGAGCAAACATCAAATCAGCTGCATTTCGCCGCGCCGCCCAGGTGAAATCCAGCTGATTTGACCATTAAAGTACATTTAATAAGGAAAAGTTCAACTGAGACACACATTTACTGTAATGTCAAGCAAACAAATAATTGTTTTTAGGTGGTTAGCTTTTTAAATTTCAAATAAATGCACAGCGTGTCCCCCCTCTGGGCGCTCCAGCAACCGCAAATCGATTTTTGAAATACAGCTGATTTTCCCTTTAAAGTGCATTTATTAAGGAAAAGTTCAACTGAGACACACTTTTGCTATAATTTTGATCAAACACATAATTGTTTTTAATTGTCAATCTTGTTAAATTCATGTTAAAGTCCTCCCAAGGATGCTCCCGCGGCCGCCATTTTGGCAGCCAATCGATTTTTGGCACACAGGCCCACGTTCCCGGTTGGTCAGTGGTGACACAACAAATGCGATACATCAGCGGTGATACATAATAGATGCGACCTGTATAGCAAAGCGACTTATTTATGATTTTTTTTCCACTTTATTATCATTTTTGGACTGATGCGTCTTATACAGCGGAAATACGGTAACTATTCTTAACATGTCAATGTTTGAGGCAGATAAACAAATATGTTCATAATTCTTCTTTTTTGAACAGACATTTTAAAGCTGCAAAAAGCAAAACTGCATGCAATCACTCTGTTAAATATCCCTGTAGGAGGCTTGCTGAGTATGTGTGTCCTGTGATCTGTGTCTTCCCATAGCAGCATAGGATAATGAAGCCCAGGCTGCTCACTGAGGCCTGTCCATCTTCAGAATAATGAAATGGGCTTACTGTATCTTGAAGAGAAGATAGGCACAAAAATGCACAGAACATTTGTAAGGTCATGCAAATTTGCACAACTAAAAAACTTCACGCTGCTCGTCACATAAAAGCTCATGCACTGTAACCGACACAGCCCTTTTTGAATAATGTACACGTGTATTCTCCAGAATTCTCTTCATTTAGAGCTGAACTTTAACTGCAGCAACTTCACTTTTCAGTTATGCACTATTTTCTGACACTTGCTTACAAGCTAGGATTTGATCCATTCCCGTATTTAAAACACCTTTCACTTGTCAGTCAAACCATGCATTATGAAAGAATATATCTTTGTGCTTTTTGATACAAACATGGAATAACGATGGAGATTTTTATCTGTGCAACAATACGAGCTAGCATCTTTTTTTCCACTTTTCTTCCATGGATGAATACACTCTTATTAAATATGATTTCTGCACATGCCTTCAAAACAAACAACTATAAGTTTGACAAAATATCCACTTTTATACCATCTCACTTTGATGTGGAAATGATCTCATCTCGTGGTAGTGCTTAGACTTGGCACAAGTGATTTTCCAGCTGGGTTGGTTTAAGTATTTCAGTTTGGGAGGTGTATTTGCATTCATGCATGTGGTAAATTTTGCATGAGCTTTATGAAAACTGTGGGAGAGATGATCAATGAAACGCTAGAGGAACAAATTACCATATGCTAGGCATAACTTATGGCTGGTCTTGTTTTCTTTAATGTTTAACAGTACGGCCATTTTTCTATATCAGCTAAAGTCACATTTCTTTCCCTCCTAACTCACTGCAGGATATGAAATGACTCAAAGCTTAACTTTGCTAATTGGCTATTTAGCTTGTCGTTTAATGAATGTTGCCCAACTTCAGTTCCCTCCAACACCATAATTAGCTCTTTCTGGGGTTTTTTATTTTTTTGTCTTCCCCCTGTTATTTGTGACTATGTGAAATGAGGAAAAACCCCATTGAAGATCTCACTTTAGTGTTATATGCGTCTTTAGAAGGTATACGTCACAAACAGAATTATTATACATGTGCAAACAATGTACTTTATGCTTTGCTGTAAAGAAATATTTTATACACATGTTGTATTTGTTGAGCTTTTATTTACCCAAACAAATCCTAAAGAGCAAACACTTTCTTGCATTTGCATCCACGCAAAAAGCAAAAGCTTAGATAAGAAGTTTGAGTATAAATATAAGACTTTTATAGAAGACGCTGCTCGACATCGGCTTCTTTACGTCTCATTGACAGCAGTGTCCATGTATTGATTTTGACTTAAGCAGTGTCAGACAGCCAAAGGATCCAGTGTGTGAGAGTGTGATACTGAAGAATTTAGCGAGGCGGATGAGAGGGATGGTTGCAGAATACTTGATGAGTTGTGAGACGCTGAAGACTGGGTTTTGAAAACTTGGACAGGAAGTGAGCACATAGATTAAAAATGCTCAAGTATCAGATATGGCTGAAAACTCTTGCTGTTTATAATTCTTCTAGACTCTGTAATGCTTTGGGTGTGAACTAAAACAGAATATTTACTTTAACAGATATAATGTGGTGTAGTCAGTCAAGAAGTGATGTGGTTTGTTACTTTGCTGTTTGTGCTGCTGTTCGGCATATCGATTGTGTACTATTAGTGCTTAGCGTAGTTTTAGTTAACATTTATCTTAGTTCATATCTTAGATCTTATTACTGTTTTTCTTTTACATTTTTATACTATTGTTAGATGTAACTGGGACCCTGTGTGCACAATTTTGTTCCACCCCATGTACCACATGTGTTGCGAATAACAAATAAAGAACCTTGAATCCTTGAACCTTGTTAGAATGGCTACTCAAAACGTTGTGTAAGCATTTGCTTCAAAATGGACATATTTGCATGACCCAACTTAAAAAAGGATTGGCTTTTATATCAACCTGAACCCACATGTAGATTTTGAACACTTTTTAAAATTATCAATCATAGCAAAGGTTTGTCCAGAGCCTTTAATGGGCATAGGTAGAAATAAATATATATAACATAGGTATATTATGTTCATGATAAATTAGTGAACACAAGAAAGTATTGTGTGCAAATGAAAGAAAGAGTTACTTGTGAATGTGAGAAACAATCATGCTCACACAATAATGTAATAATATACTTGACAGTGTCTCTGACCTGACTATAAAGACATTACAGCTGTGCTGTCCAGATGTCAGTGTTAATCAGTAATTGTGTGTATAATTTATCAGAAGATCATTCTGTTTTTAGATGGCATTTCAGGAATATATATACATATATATAGTGTATATGTACACTCCTGAAGCCATTCTTTGTTTTAGTCTGAGATTAATATTATTTGTCTTGCTACAATTCTTGTGTGAACCAAAGAGTTTCTTTTGGGCACAAGAAAAATATCTGGTGCATCTTAGATAATACTGTGTGCCAGCAAAAAAAATGTTTTTCTTTGTCTCGACCAATACATTTCCTGTGAGCCTGGAAAACCTGTTTTTCCCATTGCCCTTTTAGGGGCTCAGTAGGGTTTGCACTATTTTTTATTACACTAGTGATTTGGGAGATAAAAGTTTCCAAGAAAAAGCAGAGCTTTAATGAATGTCTCTATTGCTTTGAGTACGGTTTTGTCTTTTTGTCACTCTGTACCCTTAGATAATGTGGGTTATTACATTATTATAAGTTTGTGTCATTGAGTCTGCATCTAACAGCCTTATGAGGACATTTGTGGAGACAATGTTTTCATTTGATGGTCTTTTTTGCATGTCTATGAACATTGTTGGAGAGAGAATAGCAGCTTCATTCACAAGTAAACAAGCCCATCTGCTGCTTTCATGAGTGTGTCTGTGTGTGCTTCAGTCTCAGACTATCCTCCTGTGTTCATCGTCTAAACTCCATCCATGTCCAGCAAGCCCAGGCAGATGCTGCAGGATTCCTGTCATCTTTAATTCATATTGGCTTTATTGTTTCTGTCTTTTTTACACTGTGGTAGTATGAGATAAAATTCCCTCGTCCACTTATAATTCGCCTCGTCCTTCTACCTGCCACTGTTTGGTTAGACGTATTAAAAAAGAAAACAATAGATATAAAGATGAAGACTAGGAGAAAATTTTTTGATTTAGAACTGAAAATGGCTTAGTCGATGAGGGTGAGCTGGTCTTGACGTAAAAATAAAAACACTCTGTCTCTTGTCACCGTTATTGTCTCAGCTTCTTGCAACATTTTATCAAAATATCTAAGTAGGTTCATAAATTGGGATTCTTTTACTTGTAGCTGAAACTGCAGTCTAATTTGTTTTATTTGAAATTCTTTAACCATCTTGGACATTAATAAAGTTTGATCTTTTGATAATTTACCAAGAAACTGAGTTACTTTATCAATGAACTGACAAATGTTCATGTTTCATTAAAATGTAAAAATATAAAATAAAATAACAGCATACTATGTACAGTACTGAACAGTAGCTACTGCAACAATTTATAAGAGGAATTCACCGGCCTTGGTCCGGTTCTGGTCGGGTTCTGATCGGCTCTCTGCAGCCGTTGAGCACTAGATGCTTTTGGAGAGAGCTGGACCTTCAGAGAGCCAGCACATAACCACACAAGGGTCCTGATCATGTCAAATAATCCAGAAGAATCAAGATGAAAAAA